AAGGATATGTACGATGGGGCTATGACTAGGGTAAGGACCTCCGGGGGCGACTCTGAGTCATTCTCAGTAGGGATGGGGTTGCACCAGGGGTCTGCCCTTAGCCCTTTTTTGTTCGCCTTGGTGATGGACGTCCTAACTCAAGGTGTTCAAGAAGGGGTCCCATGGTGCATGCTTTTCGCGGATGATATCGTGCTTATCGACGACACACGTGAGGGACTAAACGATAAGTTGGAACGATGGCGCCTTGCCCTTGAGACTAAAGGATTCAGAATAAGTAGGAACAAGACTGAATACATGGAATGTCGTTTCAGCGGCCGGGAAACAGAATCAGAAGTGGAAGTTAGGATTGACTCTCACGTAGTACCTAAGGTAGACAGGTTCTGATATCTTGGCTCGATAATCCAGGCGGATGGGGAGTTAGACGGGGATGTTGGACATCGTGTTGGAGTGGCTTGGGCCAAATGGCGGTTGGCCTCAGGGGTGTTGTGTGACCCGAAGATTTCACCCAGGATGAAAGGTAAGTACTACCGATCCGTAGTCAGACCTGCTATGTTATACGGGGCGGAGTGTTGGGCAGTTAAGAAGACTCATGTGCGTCGTCTGCATGCGGCGGAGATGCGGATGTTACGATGGATGTGTGGGAAGACAAGGTTGGATAGGATTTCGAACGAAGTTATTCGACGTCAGGTAGGCATAGCGCCGGTGGAAGATAAGTTGCGGGAAGCGAGGTTGAGATGGTTTGGGCATGTGAGACGTCGGGATACTGATGCCCCTGTACGGAGGTGCGAGAGGATCACGGTTATCGGGGGAAGTAGGGGAAGGGGTAGACCTAGGAAGAATTGGAAGGAGGTGATTAGACAGGATTTAGGACTTCTCACCCTGACTGAGGATATGGCTTTATATAGGAACCTTTGGCGGACTAGGATTAAAGTAGCTGGTTAGGAGCGCGGTGCTGCAGAGGTTTTTTGTAGCGTGTTGTGTTTGATTGGAATCTTCTGCTTTTGCTTGCTGGACTTTCATTTCCTTGTACTTGGTGCTTTATCCTGTTATATCCTGTTACCCTGTTATATTGTGTTCTCTACCATATTTTTGTGCAGGTTGAGCCGGGGGTCTCCTGGAAACAGCCTCCCTACTTCCGAGTAGGAGCAAGTTCTGCGTACACACACCCTCCCCAGACCCTACTGTATTGGGATTCAACTGGGTTGTTGTTGTTGTTGTTTTGTAAGTTAGTCGATGATTTGTAATTTTGTTTGTTTAAACATGTTCAAAATTGATGCATGTGTGTGATTATTTGGGGGGGGGGGGGGGGGGTT